AGAATTGTTTGCTTTCTATGAAAAAGTAATCGACTGCTCGAAACAAAACTTTCTTCTGGAGGTAAAAATGTGGAAAAAACGAGTTTCACACGAACATTTTCGAAATGCTCTCGAAGCATTACAAGTAGCGAATACATCGTCTTTTGGGAATGTTTTTAAGATCTTACGTATATTGGCACTTTTGCCCGTTTCAATAGCCACACCTGAACGAAGCTTTTCATGCCTGAAAAGAATTAAAACCTACTTGAGAAATACAACATGTCAAGAAAGACTCAACAGTCTAGCATCTATGAATATTCACAAGGATATAAATTTGTTCTAGAAGAATTTTTCAACAAACCACGAAAAATTTGAAAATTCTTCGTTTCATTGATTTATAAGTAAAAAGAAAAATTTAATGTGTTTAAAATTATCAAAATGTTTTATAAATAAAGCGAAAAGTTGAATATATGATTTTAAAAATTCGTGTTTGAAACTTTATTACGCATACTTTCTTCTAAAGAGCCTTTTTCCTAGACCCATATTAGTGAAATTTAACCCCAAAACCCTGCCCCAACTACTGCCCAAACTACTCGCAACTTCCCCTTTTCAATAAGAGTCCGGCCTGGCAGTTCGTCGATTTTCACCACGGCCATTCTTTGTTCTCGCGAGTTTACAGCGAGGAGAGAAACGCGAAGTTGGCTGTTCATCTTTTCTCCTAATACCCCGCTTACAACGTTCTCCACCGCTGGGACCGTGGTTAGGCAATCCACGCCCAGAACTTCTGGACGTAAACGTCTAGTGAGGATACGAGCATCTCCAAGCTGGCCAGTGGCAGTGCACACATTTTCCTTAAATGCTGAGTGGTCGCTACGGCGTTCCATCGCGATAAGAACGCCGCCTTCGCGGGTTTTCCGAACAGATCGAATTACGGTCTCCGTCTTCTCAGGTTGGAGCTTTCCGCGTATCATTCCCAGCACCTCTGCATAGGTTTTACCTTCAGCTGGCTCAATGATAAGTTTGGCGAGACTTTTCTTTTTTCTCACCCTCTTCTTTTTTTGCGGCTGCTAACCTCGCCCTTATTGTCCAGGGGTTCACCTAGCGCCAGCGCTGGTCCTGGCCTGGGCTTTCTTCGTGTGTTATCCATTGATTAATTGGTGCGGTTTTCAGCGCTTTTATATTTTCCGGCTCGCCTGTAGGGGAGTCGGACCGAGGTCGAGCCAGGGCCAGTTTTCCGCAGCTCGGAAAGGGTAGATCTTTTCCGGCGTTGCTCTCGGAGATTATTGCTCAGTATATTTAAGCTCTCCTCGATTTGGGCCATACCTGATGTGCCCAACCGTACTTCATTCGGAAGTACAGTATTTCTTTTTTCGCACTTGTACTTCGTACTTGGAAGTACAGCCAAATGTACTTCTTTGCGATATTTCTTACTTCAGGCGCGAGATTCTGTAACTAGTTAGCGACATTTTTCGGATCGCTATCGCACTTTTTGACGTATGATATAAATGTTTTTGCCTCAAAAAGTGTGATAGCGATTCGCAAATTTTCGCTAACTGGTTACAGAATCTCCACCCCCAGATCCTGAACTTCCCCGATCTTCTGGACGATCATCACATGGCCGAAAAAGGCTGTCATGTTTCCCCTAGGGATTTTAGGCCTATCAGTCTCTTCCTTTTTGCTAAAAAACGCTTTCGCTAAAAGCGTTATAGAGACTGATAGACCTGTACATAAGAAACGCGATTCCTCGTGACTGTCTTTCAAGAGCTCAATATGCTTATTCCCAGAAAAGGTCGGTGAATACCGCCCTGAACACATTGGTAATGTGATCAGAGGAAGCCTTCACGCATGAAGATTATGCAGTAGGAGCCTTCTTCGATATCGAAGGAGTACTCAACAATGTCAATCCAGAGGCAATAGGCAATTATATTCATAATATAGGGGTTGAAATCAACCTAATAAGGCCTATTTACAGCTTACTTCGTAGCAGAACTGTCGTGGCGGAGTGAGTGAGCGTCTGCACACAGTTCAGAGTCAATAGTAGATCTAGACTGCGGTTGTAAATGACCTTCTAGAGGAACTGGAAAAAGTGGGCTGTCGGGTGATCATCTATGTTAATGATGTGGAACTTTTGGTTAAGGGACGATTTCTATACACCCTTTGTGATCTGGCTTAAGGTTACTTGAACCAGGTAACTAGGTGGGTGATCAACGGCGGCTGTCGTGGAAACCTAACATTGAGGAAAGGGTAGCAAAGTTGTTGGTTGACTTTTACTGCTGTAGGGAAGCTATTGGTAAAATGAAAATTAATTCATTAGGTCTAGTAAACCAGATTGAAGGCTATATTGTTTCAAGGAGCCCTTGTCTGGTGGAACTTACACTTGTAAAACAGGAATTAGCGGAGCATTAGGAACCACACCTACACTGGCGTTTAAGACATGTACATATGTTGAACAAGACGCCTGCGGATATTGCAGACAGAATTGTCGGAGCACGAACTGCTATTAGACTAAGGGAAACCGGGTCATAGAGGAAAAGAAGACGTTTCTCTGCAGCAGAAAATGTTTTTATAGGGCACTTTAAAACACGTTACCTCTCAAGGGCTTGTGATGGGGGTTCTGACAGGCCATTGTGCGATTGGTATTCATTCGGTGAGACTAGGAATTCCTTTGGTATCAGCTGTCGAGAGGAAGATGAATTAGCATCATCTCCACACTTTCTTTTAGACTGTCCAACCTTCGCGAGGCTAAGATGGAAGTATTTTACGTCGCACTTCTGAACAGCCCTCAGGGGTCGATATTAGCCGCATTCCAAATATCGTACTCGGCTCGCGGCGTTAACTTGGCTCAACCTAAGCTGTACTTCTTTGAGATATGCAATAGTTGATCACATTAGCCATACCCGTATTTATGTCAATGGACACATTCTTTTGCTTAGAGACAATAATCTGCATCTTCTTTCAGACGAGCCGAATATGGGCCAGTTGCTCATCTTCAATGCCTTCGCAAGTTCTCAAGCTCGCGGTGATATGCTTGTAGCTGTTTGCTGCAGCTGGTGTTTGATGACGACCATCCTGGCTGCCGGGAGTTCTCGTTTGACAAGGTGTAGCCTTCTGCGCCACATCGGCAGCTTTCTCCGTGCTCGTAGTGCTGGTATTTGCCTGCAGAGGAGTTTGTGGCGGGGAGCGCACAACTCTACTGCTCTTTCTGAAAGCGCTGGATTCTTCCTCAGGGACAACTACGTCGGTTTCGTTTGTCTGTTTTTGTTTTAATTTGTTAATTTCAATTCAATTGGGTGTCTGCTTCAAGCCGATATCTCCACACGTAGCACAGTCGTTTTTAAGTGTCCCGAAGTTCCCTTCTCTCAAAGCAGCAGGCCATTGCGAGGGTTGTCACAAGTCCTTATGGGATATTGTGTTCAGAGCCAAGACAGCGCAAAACCAGGGTAAATCTCAACTGGACCTGTGCGGCCAACTAAATGGCGACGTGTATCTAACGTACTTGAAGACCTGCCAGGATTTTAACGAGACATAGGCCATTGCAGCATTAGCCCACCAGCCATTTCTGTGAGGTGTCAGTCTTACATACTAAAGTGGCAGAATACTACTCTCGCCAGCCCAATGTCGAACTAATCGTATACATGCTGCAGTATGCCATGAACACTGAAGTACTTAAGATGTATGAAAATACCATTATCCATTTTTATGATGACTTCCATGCACTAAAATGATGGGATACAAATAAAAATCAATTTCCTTTTTTATATAAAACAAACTGCAGGGTACTTGCTGCCCCTGCTTCAAGTCCTCCTCAGAAAGAGTGTTTTCTGCTGCTCGAAGTTTATTGACAGAGAAAAGATGTGCGTTGGGTGGTAATTCTGAAATCGTAAACCAAATTATGTTTTTAAATCATAGTTGTTAACATTAAGTTTTCTCATCATATATTTTATGTATCATGAAATGAAAGTGGTATACTTGTACCTGCGTGCATATGAGTATATAAATGAATATGTACTTTGTGTTTTTTTTTATTAAAAGTGGGCTGTTTTTATTATAGTAATTGCTAGTTTTAAGTTTTTTCATTAACTTAATAATATCTTATTTAACCAAATGAAAGTTATACACCCCGCTACGAAATGATACTTGCACCTTTTATGGGCTACTTATTTTTAAATAAATTTTAATTAGATATTTTTTTTAAGTAACATTGTCTAACCAACGCAATATAAATCCAAATATCAAACTCTGCCCACAATTTAAAATAAATCGGCAGTTCTATCAAAATTTCAACACGTTTTTTTAGATTTTTGATACAAATTCAAAGTATGCAGTTTTATAGCCCTTTCAATTCTAGTCGAAGTCAGTTCTGACTTTTCCAAGTTGGATAACGAAGCAAAGCGATTAGGTCTGGTGATCAACGAGGAGAAGACGAAGTATCTCTTGTCATCAAACAAAGAGTAATTTTAAGAAAGTAAAGAATTTCGATACTTGGGAACCAGCATAACACCGAAAATAATGTCGGCATCTAAATCCAACCCAGAACTGCTCTAGCCAACAAGTGCTACTTTGGACTGAATAGGCAATTGCGAAGTAAAGTTCTCTCTCAACGTACAAAAACCACACTCTATAAGTCTCTCATTATGCCTGAGCTGGCGTATGGCGCAGAAACTTAAACAATGACAACATTCGATCAGTCGGCTATTGGAGTATTCTAGACAAAGACCTTACGGAAAATTTAGAGGCCTCTAGCGAATCAAAATACAGTGACTCCGCTGTCTTGGCTATGTCGATCTATTGGGTACCGGCGTTCCAGGTCTTAAAGGATTCAACTGGCAATCCGGTAATTGTAGCAGAGGAAGAGGGAGGCCCTCATTGCAATGGAGAGACCAAGACCAGTCAATCAGTCAGTTGGCAGAGAAAGAAATGACTGGCGTGTTTGNTCCGGTAATTGTAGCAGAGGAAGAGGGAGGCCCTCATTGCAATGGAGAGACCAAGACCAGTCAATCAGTCAGTTGGCAGAGAAAGAAATGACTGGCGTGTCGAACATGGCCAAAATCGCTTATGCGGTTACAGCGCCAAATAAGAAGATGTAAATCATAAATGACGGAGTTGGGGGACCTCCTTCTTGGATGCGCCAAGAGGAGATTGATTCTGGTAACGGTTCGATCAAAAAAGAACATAGCATAAGCTCTCACTTCGTCTGGAATAGCTGCAACATTGTTATCACGTGGAAGTACTGCTCATTCAGATCTTAAGCTGCCATTGAACATACAAATCATCGAAACTCTCAAGTGCAATATTTCCAGAACATCCGGTATGGGAAAATTATTACAAAAATGTAAATTCATTGTTTGGTATGAGTGCACCATGGCACATAAAAAATCGCTTGAAGCCCCACATCGATCGGAGCGAGATTTGCGTAGAAACATTCAACCAATTGGGAATGCTTTGCTCGCAGGAGATTTTACGCAAACATTTTCTGTAATTTCTCGATCGCCACCAGCAGACGAGATAAATGCTTGCCTGAAATATTCAACATTATAGCAACACGAACATAGATTGCAGTTGACTACGAATATGTTTGTCCAGTTACAGAACGATCTATCAGCCGAGGTATGCTCGTGAAAACTACTGGCTATTGGGAGTCGATGAGAGATCAGGACGAATATCATTGCCTCATAACTTTTGTAACTTAGAAACATCAAAAGGAGAGCTGATCGAAAAGAATGCTTCTTAATATTCAAATTAGTTATTGGAATCACGATTGGCTCAGTGAACGAGTTATTCTTGCCGCGAAGATTAAGGATGTCTATCAACTCAATAATGCTTTTCAAAGTGAGGAAGTAACACTCAAAGTGATGAAAGAATATGTACGTCGATAAACACCGTTGTGGAAACAGATGAATCACTTAATTATCCAGTGGAAGCAAAGATTTTAACGTGGCCTTTCAAAGGTGAAGATGTCCTCATCCTTCGAATTCCCATGATTCCGACCGAAACACCATTTCAATTTAGAAGATTTCGATTCACAATCAACAAAGCTCCAGGTCAATATTTCGAAAAATGTGGTTTAGATTTAGATGCCGAATGCTTCTCATATGGACAAATGTATGTTGCGTGTTCCCATGTCGGCAAACCAGATAGCCTTGATATCTAAATAGAGAATGAAAAAACCACAGTATACAGTAATCCAGATAGGCAAAACAAAAAATGTAAATATGCTTATTTGACAATTTATTTGAATGTATTGGTTGATATTTTTTCACAGTTGTCGTTTTCTTTAACCCAAATGAAATCCAATTTCAATATTTTCTTATAGTGGAAAATATTTTCAAGTCACATAAAATAAAACAACGAGAAAAACAAAATTCCTAGCAAATCAGGCTTGCAGCTTAAGCGATTATAACCGGATGCAGTTCCTACATAAGTCATATCTGGTTTCAAACACAACTTTGAGTGAATAATGGTGGGCTGATTTTGGAAAATGGACCCATAAATTAGGGGGTAAAACAATATTTATCAAAATATTCAGAATGACGAAATGAATTGGTTCAGTCCTGTCTGTTTGCAAACACGCTAACTCGAACAAAATTTAGATATTTTAACGAAAGTAGGTGCCGAAGCTGCCTTTGGTATAACGTAGGTTAGTATTAAATTTTGGTAAAATCTGTCTATAACCACGACCACCTCCCATGTAGTAATCAACAATATTTTTGTTTTATTGTTCTTTTTTAATGAATTTTGCTGTTTAAATTTACATTTCAAATATATCAACAAACATTTGGGGGTACTTTTGCACCAGTCATTGCCTATGGGATAATGACAAAATAATCCTATACATGCACAATATCTCATGTATTAATTTTCAAATAAGCATATTGTCAATGGCTGGTTTACTGTATACTGTGGAAAAAACAAAAAATATTTTGTAGACACAAGCAAGGCATATTCAACAAGGTAGAAGTGACAATTCAGTCGAGCTCTCTCATAGCTGACTGTAATGTCAAAAAATGTAAACAAAGAAATTAACCCTTTGTTATGCATTTACCATATTTGGTGAAACTCAACGGCCCGAAGCTATAGTCAAAATAAAGTCGACTCCTAAAATTAAAGGCAGCTTTTTGAAAAAATTTTCAATGAGATAGCTGTAAAAAAAAAGGCTATTAGCTTTAGAGTCGACTGCGGGCTAATATCTTTGAAATGAAAGTTTTTGTAGATATGAATATTTTTAAAATCTCATTAGAATCAGCTTCTTTTTAGGTATTGCCTTTTTGTTTTAGTGTAAATGTGGAAATACATACTTACACAAAATTACACACTAAGTGAAACACAATCATTTATAAACCCGTTTTGGCAATTTTCTTGCTTTTACTAGCCCAATGTTTTTAAGCATTTATTTTTATTATTCAAATACTTAATTCTAAAGTATATTAGACATCTAAAAAAAGGTTCGATTATTCTAAATTTACATCAGAACTTAAGTTCAATAATTCAGCTATTAAATTTTTGCAATTCGAAATTTCCTTTCCATTAAATTTATTAAACGTTAATTTCAGTTTCTTTATGTCAACAAGGAATTCCGGTTTAGGTTTTGTTAGACCACCATTTGAAATTTGGTCTATCCATGTATATGAGTGGAAGATTTTCTCTTCATATTCGTCATAATAATTCCTGCACCTGGGAACAAATGCGTCCGCTTAGAAACACCCGGCTGCGATGGCACCCTGAAATTGTGCATATGGAAACTGTGCATACGAAATAATGCATATGAAAAAACCCGAAATAATGCATACGAAAAAAACCGAAATAATGCATATATGCACAGTTTCGGTTGAAA